GCCTTCTCCCTGGTCAACTCGGTCCGCGACTCGTCCCCCCCCCCCCCCTCCATGCCCTTCCCTCCCTCTGTGCCCTTCTCGCATTCTCGCTCCGTTGGCCCGCCGCAAAATGTCCACAGGGGCGCCAGACCACCAGCTGGCACTCAGTCTGTCGCAAAGTGCGGTCGAGCCCGTTCCACGGCCTTTTGCCCCGAACTCATTCATCCTGACGCGTGATGGTGCTCGGGTTTCTCGTCAGGCCAGCTTTTATGGGTCACAGAACCTCATCCTCGCCGGGCAGGTACGCTTCGTCATTCTGCCCTCCCCGGCGCGCTGTCTCGTGCTCCTGTCATTCCATCCTCACCTTCCTCTGTTCTTCTGTCTTCGGCTCAAGGCTGTCATTGAAGAAGGGGCAATCTTGCGATCGGACCTTCGTCGGATCCGCACCCGCGCGGCGGCCCCGCCCGCCGGCGACCAAGCATCCGGCCAACCGCAGCAGCCGCAGATGCCCCGATACTCGCAGTCCTTTGGCGTGGGCGTGATTGTGGAGTCGGGTGCGGTGGTCCGGCCGCCGGGGAAAATCACCGGCGGTGGGACCATCTTCGACTACTATCCCCAGGAGATTGGGCCTCATGTGCTGATCGGGGCCGGAGCCGTGGTTGAGGCGTCGCTGATCGATTCACGCGCGCGCATTGGTGCCGGCGCCGTGGTCGGGCGCTTTGCCACGGTGCATGCTGATGCCGTGGTTTGCCCGGGGGCAGTGGTGCCCCCCTACTCGTCGGTTCCGCCTGGGGCTGTGGTCGCCGGCAACCCGGCCACCGTGGTGGCACACCAGCGTCCGGGGCTCCATTCGGCGGCCGAGGTGTCTGAGCGCAATCAGGACGACATCTACCGATCGTATGTGGCCGTGGCTGGTCTGGGGGTTGCACCAGTGCCCGGCTCGACGCCGGCTGGCTCGGCCTCGGCCTCAAGCTCCTCGGCATCGCTGACATCGGCACGTACGCAGTAATCCCGCATGCCTCCCCCCCCCCCCCC